GGTGATTATATACTAAAATGAAAACTTATTATATTATATTATATATTGATATTCTGTTTCTTCCAATAGAGCATCCTAAATGTTAAACACTGGACAACATAATAGCGTGTTAGCGTGTAAACATTTTGTAATTAGCATTAAACACAATGTACAGCTGAGACTGTTGATTTATTTTGTTGGCATTTGGTCATCAAGCAAAATATTGAACAAATTGAAATTGGATTCATCGTCTGGGGACCATGAATAACCGTAGAAAAATTATTGGAAATCCTTCCAATAGTTGTATTTGAGTATTTAAGTCTGGACCCACTGACCGACATTGCCACCCATTCAGCCATGGAGCCAAATTCATTCAGCTGTTTAAGTGTTTCCCCAAAATAAAAATAAAAAAGCTATGCTAAGACAGATTTCACAGTTTTCAAGTAGCCTGATGCTGTGAATACAATATGTAAATTTCAGGTTTCTTAACCTAAATATATGTTCAGGTAAATAGTTGAATAAGGTCAAAAGATCCAATTGGACAAAAGTTGAGGAGCACTTTTCAAATGCTAATACAATGCAAATGTTAAATGCTTACATCAACAGACCAGTGTTACATCTGTAATAAACCTACATTGGTGCCTTTGATCCCACAACTTACACCAATCTTTCATATTCTGATGTATCTCTTGTTTTCATTTTAATATCATGTAATGGTCCTCATAAATGTGGCCTTTGAAGCAGGTATTTTCTCTCAGGCTAAATGCCTCTTAGTTCCTTCCTCAGTGTTCTGTTTTAATGTTTGTCAGGTGGCAGGTTTGCGTGAAGCATCTGAGTGAGAAGTGGGGACAAAGGTACAGTATAGCTCTGTCTCTGATATGTTAATCAGCCCCAAACATGTAACATTTCCTCTGAATAAATCAATTAACTTCAGCTCTACTGTTCTCTAGTTCAGCACCATAAAGGGGGCTCTGTGGCCAACAGATGAATAATGTAATTTTGTGTCAGAATGAGTAATGCGGGCACAAATCACTTGTCTGGATGAGTGGATGGGGAGTTTATAATGGCGAGTCCTCACGTTGGGTTTATAAGGCAGGAGGAGAGAGAGATAATTCATCCTCTCTCTCCGTCATTCTCTCATTAATGATGTGCTGTAAATGCTGTGTAGCTGCATGGCATTATAAATAAAGAGAAGGGTATGAACCTGGAGAAAAGGAAACTATCTGCTGCGAAGTGTTTACTTTATGACTAGGTTAATTAAAGAGTTAGTTTTGAAACCCCAGTTCAGTTTTAACCTAGCATGTAAATGTGCTCACACACTGATATGGCTATAATTATTCTTTAAGGTGACTCTTTAATCCATCTATTACAGTAAGGACAACCTTGGGTATTTCCAAAACATGTTTATGGGGTTTTCTATCATGCGAGGTACTGTTTTATTGATTACTCATTGATTGAGACAGTTCGACCTGAGCTTTAGATTTTCATTTGATCCTGTTACCTGAGATAAGAGCTGTGTTTGACAGGACAAAGTCTGGAGGGGTGTTTTAGCTGTGGACAGGTAATCCTGGGGTCAGTTGGCTGACCACTCTCTCAGGTGTGTGTGTGTGTGTGTGTGTGTTTACTATTCTGCTTGTCTGTGTGATAACAGTCGAAACAGGAAAGCAGGTAATAGGTAAAGGGATGAGGTGGACATGTTAGCTTATTCAAATGAATAAATTATGTAAAAATATTTATTTTAAAACATCTGTTTGACACAATGAAGCTAACTACAAATACTTATTTAAACTGAATGAACCAATATCCTTGAATTCAACTCTGCAGATCGATGGAGCTTTTAAGCCTCATTTAGATCACTGGTTTCATGTTACAGCACACACATTCACTCTATCGTTCGGTCTCAGCCATTCTTATCAACAATTATAGTCATTTCTAGCAAAAAAAGCTCAGATAATGCATGTTATATAGATTGTGATTATGAGCAGCAGAGTGGGGAAAACTGCTGTAAGTCGGAGATATCTAGAAAGTCTGAGTTCTGTGTCAACAAACTGCGGGCAAATTTGCTACAAAGCCATCATTGCTCATAAAATTCAATATAAGCTCTAATACAGATATAATACAAATCGGCTGAAGCTGGGGGTAGGCAACCTGCAGCTATGGAGCCACATGCAGCTCTTGAGCTCCTCTCTGGTGGCTCCCTGTGGCATTGACAAAAAATAATTTGGAAATGAATAACAGTTCTCATCTATCATAGTTGTAGGGCTAAAGTACTTCTTACATTCTCCAGATCTAATTAATGAGTACCCATTACACACCAAATCAAAAAATTGTTGAACTTTTCATCAGCTAAAACGTGCGTCCTGACATGACGCCTTTTTGCCAAATCTCAATTACGGTGTCTACTATCCTTGAGTCTCCTTAGCTAAGTTAGCTCTATGGTTTCCAGATCCCAAGTCTTAGAGGAAAATAGAGAATTTAATAGTACATGTACAGATTTGTTTACTTTCACCACCAACACTGCTGGCTTACCGGTATGTTTGAGCTGATATATGTGTTATAGTGTACACTGTTTGTGTCTTATGTTAGTTGTATAAAAAAAAAAACTGCCTAGTATCTAGGCAAAATCAAATGTTTTCCTTAGGGAGGGTTTCATGTCCTTCCCATTCTCTTGGCAAGGTATAAATGCAATATCAACTTATACTGTAGTCTTCCTGGACAGCACCAAACAGCAGATTTACAATGTTAGCAACTAGCTCATGAGCATATGCTAGCATCTAATACCTACCTTTGCCATGTGGACAGAAACCTAACTTGCAGGCTGCATGTCTGCTGGTTAGGGAGCAACTACTACTAATACCACTACTCAAACACACCCTCCAAAATGAATCAACACCTCACTCTGAATGACACAGTAACACCCTCACCCACCTTCTTCTCTCTGCACAATATTCATTTCCTGTGCAGCGACCATCAACCTCCTCACATCACACTAGTGATCAATAGAAGCATGTCCAGTTCAGGTGATGTGTGCAGCGATAACGTGGCCTGTTCCTCCCAGCAGTGATAAGAGTGAGCCTTTATTGGCCAGTGTAATGAGTCACATGCAGAAACAGGAGCGACTGATGTCATTTTGCATCACTTCATCTCCACTGGGACCAGACACTGTGTGCTTGTGAGTGTGTGTGCATGTCTGTGAGAGTGTGCTCCACATTTATACATGCATAGATGTGTGTGATAGCGTGTTTTTATTGCATGCCTGTGCCTGTGTGTGTGTGTGTGTGTAACTCAGTGCTCGTCCTGAGGCGCTGCCTGCTGTTCAAGCCCATACCTGGAGGCTGACCTCATTTGTTGCAGCGCTACAACTCCGGACACATGGAAGTCACATGACTAAGCCCTCCCAGCTCCATATGGAACAAAAGCCTCCTTCTTACAGCCCCTGCTGACCTTATTATCAAAGTGTCCATTTTACAGAACACTCTACTTCCTCTAGTGGCAGTGATCCTTAACCTTTTTGCCTTATGACCCCTTAACATTAAGCAGTGGCCACTTATGACCCCTCATCACATAAAATAAGATAAAGTCATTGATAGGTAAAGCGATCTGGTATTCCACAAGAAGAAAGCTAGCAAGACGGGAAAACTAGAAAACAAATGATAAAATGTTGTGTTTTGTCTTTTTTGTGACCCATGATCATCTAATAATAAACCCCTCATTCTGATTTAGTTGTGCCTTGAAGGGTCCAGGCCCCAGGTTGGGAACCAGTGCTCTACTGTTACTTTACAACAGTTTTTGTTGTTGAATCCCAATTTTAGGATTAACTACAATAAGGGAATTTAGATAACCTAGTTTTAGCTGGAGTCACATTTTAGAGTCTTTGCTGGAATCTCACAACAGTGAAGTGAAACTTTCACAGACTGTCACAGCATCAAAGAAAGCTTATTATTATCTGCACCGAGCCAACCTGCTGTGCTCCTGACATCACCCAATCTGTTATACTGTTTATTCACCTTTGGCCTAAGGTGTTCTGGTACCAAGTTCACTTATGAATGCTTGAACATGGTGTTTGTTATGGCAAATCCATGATTAGCTGAGCCATCGTTGCCCACTTGAGCTTTGAAGTCCCAGAGCAGAACTATAGAGTCCCTAGGTGGCATTTTTGGCCCCAAAAAAACATATTTAAATCTTATAAAAGTAACTTTTTGTTAATGTTTATTTATTTATTTTTTTTGCCTAGTTAGCAATACTAGTAGCCACGGCTTTTGAGGTTTGGCAAAATATAGAGGAAAGGTGCCAGCTGATGATGCACATTTTAGTTGAGGAAACATTAAAACAATCACCTACAACAATAAATGAAAATGGACATTTTAAAAATAACCGTTATTCATTTCAGTATAATTTTTTGTCAAAGCCACAGGGAGCCACTGGGGAGGGGCTAAAGAGCTCTGGAGCTGCAGGTTGCCTAACCCTGCTGTGGCTCTTCAATGCTGAACCACAGACTGAGACCTGATCCCTGCAGTCAGTCCCACAGGTCACATATCAGTGTTTGGCTGTGTGACACATAATCATTTCAGGTGGCGCATCTTATTTCCAATCATATTGTATTCTCTTCATCCACTCCAAATGTAGCATTTAATATATCCATTGATTGATACACACACAGACACCTGTGTCAGCATTTTAATCACGCCTTGTGTGTGTTAGAAGCATTGCTGCAGATTCACTACAGTGAGCTTGTGCTACCTTTGAGTATAAGCCCAGTGGGCATACGCGTGGGAAGATGAAATATTCTTGGCACACGGGCATGCAAATTGCATTGAATTAAAACACCCACTATAGCCAAATGTATGCACACCTATGAAATTTTCTATGCATAAGTGCAGGTTTATGTAATAGGCGTTACTGAAGCAGAATTATGGCTCTACAAGCCTTAAAGCTGTGAAAGCTTTATTGCTGATGCATTCTGTGTTTCTGTGTATGCGTTTCTATACTATGGATCTTCCTATTCCTGTTTTTTATTGCAGAATCCAGCAGGATGATATGATATCTTTCCTAACCCATCCCCTGTGGTCTCCATCCCATCAGCGATGACCTCACCCTGCCTTAGCCCCAGTGTCTGAGTGGAGGGTAAGTCATTGCTAAGACGTCCCCATGACTCATCCCAGTTGACATTATTCAAGATGAAAGTCAGACTTGCTGCTTGTCATGATTTCACTAATAACTGGAGGGTAAAGAAAAGAAAAGAGTTCAAAGAAAGGAAAGAAACACCTCATATTATTAATGAAGTGAGCAGGAGTGATGAGAACACTATAAACTCACATGATGCAAGATTAATGAATGTCACGTGTTTGTAATTTTGCACATGATCGTTTAAAAGGCAAAAGAATATTGCTTTCGGCAACTGAAAGTACAACACTGACATATTATCACCTTAAGTTAAGTTAATATGGTGGACGTGTTAGCAAACAATTGTCTGTTCACATCATGCAGATATGCCTCAGTATGTTCACCACATAAAACTTCTCTCTGTCTGCCGCTTCATGCTGGACAGGCACCTTTAAGAGTTTTACAACTTTTAGTTCTTTCAGCTAAATTCTTACATGCTCACATTGGCAACTTGCTGATGCAGGTAGGCTATGTCGGCCATGTTCATCATCTTAGTATTGCATGTTAGCATGCTAATATTTTCTAATTAGAAACCCAAAAACCCCAACTACAGCTCAGGCTAATGGTAGTTCTGCAGGTATTTGATGATAAAAGGGATCACCAAAGTAATTAGGATACATCTGCAGGGAACCATGAATGTCTTTACCGGATTTCATGGCAATCCATCCAATAGTTACACAAGAAATTATATATTTCGACAAGGGAAATGACAAAGAAAAAATACACAAATCATTCAAGAATGGAAAAGAGGAACATTTTGAGCTAGAATATGTGCCTCTATCCTGTTCATCTCACTACAAACAGACACATGGGGGTTTTCTTTGACATTCCCTTCACCACAACCCACTTCAGAGAGAGATCCGGTCATTTCCATTATGTCTACCCATTAGCTCCTGATGGGTACCTGTACATACACATAAACACACTTAAATTGCTGCATTTCAACCCGCCGAGCACCATTGTTCATCATACAGGTAACACCAAAACATCACCCCCACTCAGCCTCACCCTGTCATCATCCTCAGATCAGCAGAAACCATCTACTCTCCACTCCTCACTGTTTTGACACTAATTGCACTTTGTCGAGATCAAACTGCCTCGTTTTCTCTGCTCACCCCGAAATTCACTCTGACACTTGACAGTCACTGAAAGGGGTCTCACACATCAGACAGGTATCTAGTACGATGTGATAAAAGCCAAATTTAATATTCAAACCTCTTTTTTTTCTCCAACCTGCCATCCTCAACCTCCTCTCATCTCCTCGACTTCAGAGTCACACTTTAATCTGCCAGGGTAACGGTGGAAAGATTCTGTCTGCTCTGTTTGATGTACTTCATGGCATGTTGTGCATGATTACTGATGAAGATTTCCTCTCCCAAAACCAGTCTGTAAATCTAAAATAAAGAGGAACAGGGTTATAAAATACATCAATCATAAATATCTGTTCCCTATCATCATTTGAAAAACAGACTTTAGATATTTTTTGTTGTTTTAGATGTCAGATGCATCAATCGGTGTGAAAGAAGCAACAACTATTTTAAACATATACTATATCATTTCTGCCACTAGGGGGTCTCTCACATCAAAACAATGACAAAAGATGAAGATTGATGACCTTGTGAAGTAGCATAGGATCATAGGACTTGTTGTCTTCACCACCATTACAGTCAGCTTCTCTCAGTTGGGATTCCTCTAGTGTTCATCGTTCAGGAGGTTTCTATCCATACAGATGTCTCCTCCTCTCCAAAACTAATGGACACAGTGATTCAAACAGGTAAAACAGTGACTAAAGCAGTTTCACCTTAAAAATGTGTGTTTCTCTGACGCTGTTAGGCAGACAAAGGATATCCTCGAGGGGCGGCGAGCTGAGCTCTTAAGATACAGACATCTGATGACTAAAATCCTTAATCCAGTTAAAATATTTAGTTAAAAACCACCAAGATTAAAAAAAATATCTTAAGAATGTGGCTTAAAAGTGGATAAAGTCAATTTCTGGCAGACAACCACAACGCATGTGTGAATGACGCCATTGACAGGCAAGTGGTGAAACGCACTGTTATGTGACCCAAACTCACAGATGTTGATCAAGGTCTTTGTGAAATATGTTAGACGCTGATGTATTGCTTTGGTCATCATGTATTTAGAAGTGTTTGCTCACATTCTATTAGTATGTGTTCATATATACAGTATGGGATTTTGAGAGTTACAGTAGAGTTTGAAAATATTTTGTGTAATTATTTGATTTCACTGAAAATACATGACTATAGTAAAAACTTACAGTACTTTAATAAATAGAATATGATAAATTAAACGTGCAAATTATGAAGTTGCTCAAAGGAAACACTCAGGCTCAGGCAAAATTATAGCATTATAGCAAATGTAAACCATGCAAACATCCATATTCCTCTTTATTTCTTCCTCCCCCCTCTCTTTGTTTTCTCTCATATAAACACCCAGCAGCTCTTCTCCAGCTACAGTCTTGACCCACGTGTAAACAACACTATAAGAACAACCACTTATAATAGATAATTGACCCACAACAAGGCCAGCCACTCATCTCTGTGCCTGCAGGACGTCTCCTGCCTGCTCCTCTCTGCCTACCTTGCCAGGAGCACTGGTAACACCTAGAACAGGGGAAGTGCATAAAAGATTAAATTATGAATGGAGATCCAGCGAGGCAGAAGGAAATGGTTGTGATAATAGCATGACAGCATATTTAATTTGCAGATAATTGCACTTTGGGGGCTTTTAAGGGGCTCATCTAACACTGGCATTTTTAATGAAATGGGCGAATCATGACTGTTGTCACCTTACAGCCTCTAAAGAAATTCAAGCTAGATTAAAAAGAGCAACAACATAAAGGAAAAGTGACTGAATGGCTGTTTTAATGATTCACATTGTCATTTGAAAATGGAAACCAGGCCTTTGCACTGCCACTGTTGCATTAGAGTACTCTGACTTCAGAATTATGAGAGGTATGTTTTACTATTTCCATTTGGTGAACTTGTATTTTGTAGCAAAACAATTAGTATTTTTTACACACATGCATCCGTGGATTTGGGGTCGCAGAATAGATAAAAGCTTTTCTGACTTGTGTGCTTGTAGAAAATATTTTATCTTGTCACACAAACACAGTTTTTAAGTCTGGCAGCCTGTCAAATCCTGTCCTAAATACCGTGCTGTACATCTTAAAATGTAATCCTCACATTTTTGCTATAATTGCCTTAGTG